AAGAGTTTGTATGGAGAATTGGTGTGGAAGTGAAAAATGTGAGTGGAGATAACAAAAAAATTGGAAGGAGAAAAGTTTGTATGAAGAATTTGTGTGGAAAGTGAATAATGTGAGTAAAGAGTAAAAAATATGGGATGGAGAAGCAATTGTATGAAGATTTTAGTGTGGAAAGTAAATAAAATGGTTAGGTATTTATAGAGAAAAAATACAGAATTTTTGGGTATTTTTTTAAAAAAATTTCAGAATATTTTCGATTTTTTTTGCAATTTTTTTAGCCAAAAAAACGAGGACCGTCGGATTTCTGGAAAAAATCCATCCGAGAGTCCCCGTTGCGCCACGTGGCACACGCCCGTTGGTGCTGTCAGTGGATGACGTCAGTGCTGGCGTCACGCTGACGTCATCCAACTCGGGCTTCAGCCCGGGCAAGAATTGCCCTTAGGCTTCGTCGGGCTCGTGGGACCCACCGCCAAACCGGGCTACGGGCCCTGCGCTGGAGCTGCCTCGGGCTCCCTCTGGCTGCCTTTCCCCCGGGCTGGCCCATGCGCTGGAGTTGCTCTAAAGAGAAATTTTTGAGTGTCACGATAATTTACGTGTTATAATATGAATAGATGCCCGGGTTGATATGTCTTAAATTTAGGATATAACTTTAATAAATAAAGACAGATTATAACATATGTAGAGTAATAATATCGTGTGACTATGTGACCGTCACACCAAAAATGATACTTCTACTCAAATCTCACTACCAAAGCTCATTATAATAGGGCGTGATAGGTCAACGCACAAAGAGAAGTGGTAAAAAAGAGGACCAAATTGCTTGTGCGCATGGAGGAGGCTTAAACCCATTTTGGAGACGCAAGGTTTATATCTAACATGCAAAGGAATATAAATTTATGAGAGACACAAAACTCAATTCTCGAGTCTACTTAGGGAGCTTTGAAATGAGGTGTTATGTTGATGAGTTAAAACGAAAGAGTTTAATCCAACAGTTCAATAATAACTCTACACCTTATCGAACGACTAATAAGTACCTCATCATTATAACCCGTCACTACACCAAGATCATATTCAAATTCCCCCTAAAACCCCATATTTACTTAGATGCCATCCAAATGACCCATTCTACCCAACCAAACCAACAAATTCCACCGCACCCAATCAAGCAAGAGTTAACCCATGTACCCATCCAGTCAAAGAACACTTGGCATCTCCCCATAGGTTCCCAAAAATCCCTCCCAAATTGCTTTGATAATGCATATCAATCTCTGAATCTTGAGGACATTTAAACAACCAGGGTGGAAGGGGGACCCCTAGAATTAATTAAAGTATATTTTGTCAAAGGGATCATCATAAGAAAATTTTCTTAGTCCAGTGTAGTCCAAAACCAAATAGTGGTGGGGATTCTCTAACATGGGCCACTGTGATTTTGGAGCTTACAGTTTGTCCAACACCAACCAAACATGTGTATGCATGTGACAACTGAAAGCTCACAAGAAGCCACACATGCAATTTATACTTATTAAGAAGAAAGAAATTAATACTCATATTTCTTTGCCGTAACATTAACATCAAGGTCCAAATTACCAAAAATCAAAATCAAAATCAAAAGACCAAAAAAATACACCAAATCCCAAAAACAACAGAAGAACAGATAAAGATGGTCAACATCTGCACTTCACTATAATTAAATTAAATTTTAAAAAAAAACAGTCCTCACTGTGCGAACACAAGAAATTTTAGCCATGAAACCAAGAGACTAATTAAGATTTAAGATGAAACCCAATGTGTTACATTACTAATGGAATTGCAGACCAGCAAATTAAGATAAATAAACACAGGGACTAGTAGAGTAATTAATAATAAACAGGTGGGTAATTTAAGTAATTTAATTAATTAACAGAGTTTAATAATGTGTATGATGAAAATGGTGATGAAGATGATGAAGATCAACCTCTGACTGATAGCAAGGAAGGAATGGCATTCAGGTTGGGGGTGGTGTTCTTATCTGAAGCTTGCCTAACTATATCTCTCTTCCCATCTTTCGAAGAAGGCTTGGTGAAGGCTCTCATGGGACTAGCAAAAGCCCAGCCCCAGCTCCTGCTGCGGCCATGGACGAGCTGTCCTTCTGCAGAAGACGAAACCCAATAAGAGGAAGACGATGAAGATGAAGATGATGATGTCATCATGAAGCCACTGAAAATCCCACCACATTTCACTCGCTCTTTCATGCAGTGGCTGTTGTTGTGCTCTCCGTGACGGTGGACGCTGGCCTTGGGCTTGCCTTCTCTCTGAGACTCGACCCTTCTGAGGGTGCAGTCGCCAAACCCAGTTGAGATCCGCTCGAAGAAATCACCGGAGAAGCTTCTGCTGCCGCACCCGACGGATCTGGATCTCGATACCTTGCGCTCGAACGAGGAGGCCGAGGCAGCAGTGGCTTGGCTGCTGTTGGGGCTAGCGCTGTCATCGTCTGCTGCAGCTGCTGCCTCAACCGCAAGGTGTTCGCTTTTATTCCTCAGAGAGGACGACCCCAAGCATTTGGAGTCCTTCTGCGCGGCTGACGAAGAGAAGGAAGAAGAGGACGAGATCTTGGACTTGTCGACTGTTTTCTTGTTCAAACTGTTTGATGAGGATGATTTGGCAGACGAGTGATAGAGAAACGACCAAAACCCACCTCTCTTTCTGGGGCTAAAGTCCTCAGAACCATCCAGGAAATGGTGGGCTCTTCTTGGGGTTGTGGTCGATTTGCTTCTCTACGGAAGACGCAGCATTAGAAGTAGCAGTGCTCACTTTCTTCTTCTTCTTCGCCAAGAGAAACGAAATCCTGGCTCTCCTTGTGTTGTAGAAGTCATCTTCATGACGATAATTGTTACCAATATTGCTTCTAGGTTTTGCAGAAGCTGAGGCTGGGTGGGCTGAGAGGGAGAGTGAGAGAGAGGAGGCAGAGGAAGAAGGACCAGCAGCAACACCATTGCCATTATGAACAACACCAACATTGAGAGTGTCAGATCTAAAAGAAGGGGAGGAAGAAGAGGAGGCTGAACCCAAGCTTCTCTTGGAGGCAGAAAGCACAGATCCCTCCTGGGTTATTTCTGTATGGATGGTCACTGCACTGCATCCCATCTCCCATGTCTTGATCTTGAACTTGAACTTGAACTTGATCATGATGGCCCACCACGCCATTCACCCTACCTCCTCCTCCTCCTCCCTTGATGCCTTCCATCATCATCATCATCAAACTTGTAACCAAAACCAAATCTTTGAGCTCAATAGAGATGGGGTGTTTGATATTTTTGCATTATTTTGGCCGGAGAATAATGGGTACTTGTTCTTTTTTGTCCTCTGGTTTTCTGTGCTTGGGAGAGAGGGGGTTTGAGAGGGGGAAGCAAACAAAACAGAGAAAAGGAGTAAGCAGAGATGGTCAGAGGGTGTAATTGAGTGGGAGAAAATAATTATATGATGGCATTGAAGTAGGGCTAAGCTTGTGGAGAGAGAGAGAGGCAGAGAGAGAGAGGGAGGGAGAGAGTCCCCAGGAGCACGTGGAAGACTGACTTCCCCCTATAAGCTTAAAAAAGTGTGTAAAAAGACAACCATAACACTTAAATATTTTTGCAGACAGCCCAAGCAGAAGAATCTGTAAAAGACTATGTACACTAAACTCAACCCCTCTCTACTCTACGTTTGCACTTCGCAAGGATTCATTTCTCTTTTTCTGCTATTATATTAATCTATTTATTTTCCTTCTCATATTTATTTAACAATTTTAATTCCAAGAACAAAAGCTTCTGCAAATATATAGATTCCACCTCCAATGCTATGGCGTCGCAGGCTATGCTGCTGCCACTACGTGTCCTGCATGTCCCCTCTCCACCTCTCTAGCCTCCGCTGCCTCACGCGGCGCTTTTACTTCTACTTGTTGCTATATTCAATATTTTCTATTATTATATCTCACTATTTACAACTCCTATAACTAAATTTGTTGAGTATTAACTTTAATTTACAGCAGCTTAAATTAAAGAAAGTAATCAAAGAATCACTTTAACTCTTCTGTCTGCAAAAGAAAAAGGGTGTATCAAATTCAATTTGCATCATTGTTCTGTACAAAATTAATGGGGAATTCCATATAGAAGACAAGACCAGTTTAGTGAGTGTTCGAATACATGACCTCGAGTGCAGGAATAACTGTTTTTAACCATTTAAGCTACAAATTCATTATGCGAAATAAATTAGGCTTACAGAATTTGCGTACTGTTTCATTTTCAGTTAAAAAGAAAACTTTAGAACATAATGTTGTAATTAAGAACACCTGTCGACTAAATTAAACATGGGATTTGTTGTGTTCATCTACCCGGGGGAAGATTCATAATGCTTAGGGCCCCAATGTGTACATGGCTACAAGGGTTGTGAAGTAGACAAATCAACGATGGAGCATGGACAGTTTATCAAATATGTTAGTCGGCCTGAAGACAGTCAGTCGTCCACGAAATATATGGATCCCACATCGATATAAATTAATTTCCGCAGTTGGGATCAGCTACAGTACTACACTTCACACGTGGTTGTGCATGCATGCCTATATACACTGTGTTATATATTAATGTTGGCCACCGGACAATGAGCTTTCCGAGCTTTTACTAGATGTGGTCTCTAATGTGTTCCTTAGGTACAATTTTACCGTACTAAATCACTAGGCCCTTGTGTTTTGAGTTGACATCAAATTTATGGAGATTAATTAATGTGTAATATTACCCTTATGATCCCATATGATATTTTTTCATAAAATGAATTCATAACACTTTATGTATTCGAGCAATTTATAATTTCGAGTATGGTTAAAAAGATCGGTTATGTGTAATCAAAACTGAGATTTTGTACAAAATTGATATTTATTTTTTACGATAGTGATCCGAGAGTTTTGTTAAAATCGAATTCGATAAACTGAAAATGAGTACATCTAGATCAAATGATCATTCTGGATTGAGCTTTTTCTATTACCGACATGGAGAACAAACCAATCAGCAAAACCTGGCATAGGGTTCCTTCTTTGCTGTGATTGTCTGGTGCAAGTTCAATTTGGTCAAATTTTTCTTGGTTAATTAATTGATTGATAACCAACTCACCGTCCACACAAAAACTCACACACACAGAGAGGCCACGGTGATTACCATAAGATAAGACCATACATTACAATGCAAACAGATTGCATTTTGAGACATGACAATGAATATGTGACATGATTAGATTAGAGAAGGCTCTCTCCAGCTGAACCGTCCCCATCCACCTGGATTTCTCAAGACCCTTCATCTATCAGTAAGTCTATATCAGTATCAAGATGATCTGCCCCACTCATTCAGTCCAAATCATCACAGCCGTCCATCATCACTGCGTCTTCAACTGTCAACTCAGTGACATCCAAATCTTTCTTTCTGTAGTGCTCACCCTAATCCCACGGTACTAAAATAAAACTATTATCAGATATAATAATAACCTTTCATTTTGTTTAGTTCTGTGATATTTTGCTGCTTCTTTTTTGGGAGTCTGCAAAACAAAAGAAAAAATTTGTAACGAAGATAATATTATTTTGCTACACTGACCAATAATACAATTACACGCGTTGATTTCGTGAAAATCTCTCTCATTAAAAAAGCACTAAAAACTATAGACAAAGTGGTTATAAAGTAGTAATATTTTGGTGACAAATAAGACAAAATATTTGTCGTTCTAAAATGACTCTATGGGGACAAGGACAGTAGCCTAATACCCCAGCCATGCTACAAAATATTAAATATTTATTTATTTATTGAATAATGGGTTTGTTTACTTTGCAGTGGTTCAGCTCGGCATATGCAGCAACTCCACACTCGGCAGTCGTCTTGTGGGCCGTTGCTTTTGCTTGATTATTGAAGGAGGATTTAGAAATAATTTTATTTCCAGGTTTTTGGTCTTGTAAATTGTGTCTGAATAGACTGCTATAATAGCAAAAAAGTTGGATAAGATGGTAACCGGAAAGGGCCTCAGACGGACAAAAAAGTCCAATTATTATTGATTCTAGTTTACCCATGTCACACTCCATACTAAAAATCAACCAAAATTGAGATTCCTAATAATGCGTATTATTAAACAAATTGACGGTTTTGATAACAATTAAGATCTTCACGATAAACCGTTCATTTATTTAACATATACGAAGGATTCGTTAAATTAAGAGTTAAATATTCAAATAGCAATTCAAAAAATGAACGATTTTAATTACGACATATGTACTTGAAGATTCGTTAATAATAACTTGGATTAGATGCGCAAGAAGGTCCACCCAAAATTATTGTCAATTATGCGATGCATAATAATCGCGGGGTACTATTTGCGTTTTGAGGCTTTGATTGGGGATCATAATGTCAGTTGGTTAACTTAATTCTACCTTTGGCAGTTGAGTCTCGTCAATTTCAATTTAGCTACTGCTTGCTCGTGCATCAAACTGGATGTGTACAATTATATAATATTAAATGAGTTATTTATTTAAACGGTCTTTAAATTTATACTCGAGTTGTATTTTAGTCTTTTAATTAAATTATTTGTTCAAATGGTCTATCAACTCTATATTAATTGATTTTACCATTACATTCCATCAATATTACCGTTAATTTTAGAGTTAAAATCGTCAATTTATATTAATTTATTAATTAAAATCTATATAAAATACTATAAAAATCAATTTTATATGAAAACTAAAAACTAAAATACCCAATAGTAAAAATAAAAAAATAAAAGCCCACCATGACCCTACCCCCACCTCCATCCCTGCAACCCACCCAACCCCACCCCCCAATCTTTCTTCCTTCCTTTTTTCAACAATCAAACAGAGCTAAATTACTAAATAAAACAAACCAAAAAACCAAAAATTAAAATATTCGTTGAAACCCTTTTAACACCAACACCCTTGCGAGCAATTGGGTACCTGGAGAACATGGCAATGAAGGTGATGATGGAGGCGAATGAGAGAAAGAAGATGCAGAGGAGTAGATGCTTCTAAGGCCAGAGGCTATTGGTGGTCAGGACAACGAAAAAGGATGGGTTCTGGTATAGTGAGAACTTGGAGGGCTACGATGCAAGTGAGGCTTTGTTTCTTGATTCCATTGATGGTCTGGTGCAATGGTTTGGGATGTCGTTCAGGCGAGCATGTCCACATCCAGCACCCTCTTGAGTTATGAAAAAGACGACAACTTTGTCAAAGCCTTTTGAGGTATGAAAAAGACACATATACCCAACCTATACTCTATCGGTAGCATTGACTTGACTAAAATTCACAGAAAATATAACAGTATGGCTAATTATTAATATAGAGTTGGCTAATTATTTGAACCAATAATTAATATATAATTGGTTTATCATTTGAACCAATAATTTAGTTGAGAAACTAAAATCTAACTCAATTATAAATTTGAGGATTATTTGAGTAAATAACCCAAAACTCCATCACGAATTTGTTGCTGCTTGCTTTCATGGGCCTTGTCCTGATTTGGAGAACTTCTTCGACATGTATGATATAATTTATTCCACTATTTCAGTTTCAGAAGCTGAATATTTTTTTTTTTCCTTTTTATTGGTCGGAATGGGTTTTCAACGTACTTGCCATAAGAAGCCTAATATCATATATTATGGCCTATCTCTCAAGGTCCTACGAATGGTAGAATTGGGCTGGGGTTGCTTTCTTAAACAATAGCGGCCCTGGTTTTACTTCTTCTAAAGAAGTGAGTGGAAAAAAAAAAAAAGGTTTGAATGTACGAATTGTAGGAAATTTAGAGGATAGGACAGTATGTTCGGTTTCAATATAATTAAATCAATCATCGCATGTAAAAGTCCCACTAGTATAGTGTTTTGGAGCAATTGTTCATGCAGGAAAGGTCCTAAGTTTGAGTCATAGCTTCCGTATAAGAGCAGCACCTCCATCCCAAAAGGCAAGACAAAGTTTGTCACTATTCACGTGAATAGTGGCAGTCTTGCCTTTTTTGGTTCCACCCAAAAAGGCAAAGGCAAATGGCAATTACTATTCACTTTAATTTATTTTCTACTTTTTTATACTTAAACCATTAATTTTTGATAAGCTTTTCGGATAACATTTTTGGTTACCATGTGTCATTATTTATTATAAAATTCTCACCTAAAATTTCAAATAACAGTTTCGGATAAAAATTTTGAATTAAATTTTCGGATAAGATTTTCGGTTGCCACATATCCATATTTATAAGATTTTCAGTTGTCACGTGTCCATATTTATTATAAAATTCACATCTCACTCATCATACAATTAAAATACTCATGGTCCTCATAGTCTAACACAATCGAGTATAAGGACGACTCAATCATTGGTAGAGGTGGTTCCACTATATCACGACGTGGGGGAGTACTTTCCTTCGGAGGACGTAATAGTGCCATTATTTCCAACACGAAACGGACCACTAGAACCAATTGCGGGCATTGTTCACTTGAGGAGCCATGTGTAATGGTTTTCCTCTTTTTTCTTTTACCTAATCTATTTAAAAAATTAAATTGGAAATGCAAGAAATATATTTTTAAAAAATATATTAAATTGAATAAACGACAATTAATTTTTTTCTACCTCGTCTCCAAGATTTTGACCTCTTTGAAAATTTTTCCCCAACCCTCTAGCTTTGATGAAAGATGCCATTTATTTTTTGATACAAATGGAAAGTAAAAAATATTGGAATGAGAAGAGTTTATATGAAGATTTGGTGTGGAAAGTAAATAAAATTGTTAAGTACTTATAGGGGAAAAATATAGAATTTTGTGGTATTTTTTTTAATAAATTTTTTTGATTTTTTTACAATTTTTTTAGCCAAAAAAAATCACAGCCGTCTGATGTCTAAAAAAATTCAATCAAAGCGTCCAGGAAGCGCCATGTGGCTTCTTCCCGTTGGTGGTTGTCAGCGCTGGTATCAACAGTGACGTCAGCCCCTTCAGGCAAGAGCCTAGTCCAGATTTGTCTGTGGGCTTGCACGGGCTGGTGGGTCTCATGCCTTGCCCGATCTGGATTCTGCACGCTGGAGGTTGATTTCGGGCTTGGGGTAGCCTTTTGTTCGGGCCAGCCTTGTGCGCTGGAGGTGCCGTAACATATGTGAATTTAATATAATATCGCCCCTCTCAATAGAAAAAGTCCTATAAAAAATTCAATTATTGCCTAAGTTTTATGGATAAGCATTCCGAAGCAATACTAATTTTAAAGATTACAGCCATTTTTTCCATCCAATACGACTATAGATGCAATCATTGTAATCCACTTTTGTGTCACTCTATAATGTTTACCTTTGAATTCAGTTCATATTCAATTCTCCGTCCTCTAATATCACATACCAAAAATAAAATTAAATAAATAAGGGGAAATTGGGTGGAGTTCTTAGTATAAACCCAATACTAAAGAGATGGGAATAAGAGCAGGCCGTAAGTGAGCCCAGTACGTAGCCTACTCATTAGATCATGGCATTGGCAAGCAAGGGGCCTCCCCCTAAGAAGATGAACAAACATTTATGCATACCATACCAGTACGTATACAGGCCTTACAAAATAATGCTCGCTCTCTCTCCCTCATTTTCTTTTTTCTTTTCTGTTTTATCACATGCACCTAACCTATACACCTAATGCATTGACTCCCCAAACACACTTGCACAGGAAGGAAAAAAGAAGAAGAAAAAAAAAAAAGAGCCATAAAAACAGACGATTTAAGAACACTAGAGGTGTTGGGTGTAGCTAGCTAATTAAGTGGTCTCCAATATTTCTCCATTTTTTTGGTGTGATAGAGTAGCAGAAGAAGGTGAGATAAGAGGTTCATGTTGCCTTCCTTCTTCCAGCAGCCCACTTGAAATATTATCGGCCGGTTTGGCATTTCTGTAAATCGCATACAGCACTAGCTGCGTTGTTCCAAGAAGAAACCCAATCCCGTTTGGTACCTAAACCATGCATAAAAAGAAATATATATTTTATTTTTTCCAAAAAGAAAAATGTTTGCATTAATAAGCTTAGAATTTCCTATTAAAAAAAAGGGGGATAGGAATTATTACCCCAAGGAAAACATCTCGTATGAGCCAAGCATAGAGAGTCCATACCCCTCCGTTGAGGAAAAAGAAAAATGAGAGGAAGAATGGCATGTACTCCACACTCTTAGTTGTTATCACTGTTTTCTGAAAATAACATAAAATGTATGATGATATGTCATATATAATTCATATAATAGATTCTAAATGTGCATAAAGCAATAATAAGGGCAAAGCAAAGGTGGTTTTTAAAATGTTATAATTTGGTCCATATACCTTCTTATTCAGATAATAGATTCCACTTAAACACGAGAGTTAATGGAAATCTATATGTAACACAAGGGCGGAACTACGTTAATGGCTACAGTGGGTTATAGCCCAGGGAGGGTTTTGGGGATTTTTTTTTTTTTAAAAAATTTTATTTGGTTTTTAAGCTAATAACTTTAGTTAGCCACCAATTGAAAAATTTCTGGTTCCGCCATTGATGTTACATGTAACATTTTTTTCGTTTTAAAACAAGCTTATTTATGTTTGAAATAAGCATATGCTTATTATTTTTCTTAGGGTTAAATACCTTTTTGGTCACTGGGTTTTACGCGAAAATTTAGCCAAATTGGTCACTATGTTTCCTAAACCATCATCTTCTGTTAAACGCAAATTTTTTTTTTAGGAAGCACATTTAGTCTTCTTCCTCTAATTAACTCAACCAGTTTGGATATATTGTGCTATTAGGGTTTAACAAATTGGGGAAAATTTTGGGTTGAAATCAAAATTATGATGTATAAGATCACATATTGGATGCTATATTGAAGCATGAATTGATTCAGTTAGACTCACATTGTGCCTTCGTATGACAATCAAAGTGAGAGAGCACCAAAATATGTTGGTACGTTGTTGATTTCATTTTAATTTGGTTTGACATTTTGATTTCTTTATATCTCACAATTTCGATTTCAACCTAAAATTTTCCCCAATTTGTTAAACTCTAATATCCCAATATACCTTAACTCGTTGAGTTAGAGAAAGAAGACTAAAAAAAATAACAATAAAAACTGCACTTAACAAAAGATAACAGAATGCCTATATTAGTTGTAAACTATGAAAAACACAGTGACCAATTTAGTTTTTTTTTTCTTTTTTTCAATTAATGACCAAATTGAATTTTCGTGTCAAATTCAATGACCTAAAAAGCATTTAACCATTTTTCTTATGTGCGTAAATAAAGTACTCTCTTACTAAACTTTTGATGTGAAAACAAATGCTTATGTACGTGGTAAATATGGATAACAGTTTTATGCAAGATTGAGTTCTAAACTCGCAAGAGCATTTGTGTTGTATGGCCTGTGGACCCTACGAACGCAGCTTTTCGAACAGCTATCTCCAACTACCGTATGGTATGGGACCTGAGTTTCTAGACTTCAACAAAATGAATGGTGTGGACGGAAAGAAAAGGATCAAACAAAAGGTTTTTATTTTGGCTGGGATCAAACAGAAATTAAAGAAGGCATTTTTTTTCCCTTCCATATAAAAACAACAAAAAACTCTGGCATATGCCTACCGACTAGCAATTAGGTCGGAGGGTTTTTCTTGCAAAACGTCTTGATTTGAATCCCTCCTCACCAATTAATAAAATAAAATAAAAAAGAAGTTGACCTAGATTTTAATTATTGGACCAACCAAGGGATCGATGAGAAAAACAAAATATGGGTGTAGTGAGCAAAATTTAGGTGTCCTTACCATGGCAACTAGCGGCGAGCCGTACATCAAGATGTTTAAGCCTGCACAAATGAACCCTAGTGCAGCAATACGTGTCTTTCCCTGCAATGCCAGCCAGGTAGCTAAAATGGCCGCTGCTAGGAAACCCACATCCAAGGTTCCAATCAAGATGGCCGTCTTTGCCTGAAATGTTGTTGCAGACACCAAATAGATCGTCAATTGAGATATACCACAAACGAAACAAAAAAGACTGTGAATCTGGACCGCACATTCAAGAAAAAGATCTATAAAATCAATCGTCTAAACTCACAGTCTGTAACGAAAGGAGTGAAGAAAGTTAAACATTACCCTCATCTTTGCTGGGGCATATACTAGAAACAAAATAAGGTAGATAATCTCAACAACGACACCAAAACCATTGACAGTGGCCACAAGAAATCCTCCGTTGGGCCTTATAATTCCATAGTAAGTCCACAAGAAGGAGTTGAGGAATGTGCAAACATAAGGCAGACTCTCGAAGTCCTCCGTCGATCGGTGCTTTACAATTCTCCAGAACGTTCCGCTGCATTTATATATAATTCAAAAACTCTTAGCTCTTTCTCTTTCGAGGGGTTTGGAAGCTTAGTGAAACTATTAGCATGAGATTAAGATCTTACACAGGAGCAAGGAACATTAGCACTGAGATGATGTTGCCTGCAAATTATAGAAAATTTGCCATCAGAAAAGAATATTATGCTAAAAACATTACATACTAATTCAATAATTAATGCAAATTAAAACTTAATTAGTGGTTTTCTTACCTATGACCCCAATAAATAAAATCAAGCCTTCCATGTTTAGAAAACTTTTTCCTCTTCAATTTGGATCGGGCGCCAGGAGAGAGCTAGCTAGCTAGGAGGTTGAAGAGAGAGAGAGAGAGAGAGAGAGAGAGAGAGAGAGAGAGAGAGATAAAGAGAGCTTGTTTCTTCATTTTAACATACACATGGTTTGAACTTGAAGCATTTATTTGACCCAAAAAAAAAAAAAACTTGAAGCATCTAACAATATCAACATGGTTCAATAATTTACGGTAATATACTTGCGCATGTTTTTTGAGAATTTAAATTATATTTTTCTTTGGCCCATGAGAATTATTTCTTTTCTTGTTTGGGAAAAAGTCTTATGTCTGATTAGTTTACTGTATTAATTAAACTAAAGAAAGAAGACTTGAGTGAAGTCACGTGCTAGCTGGACGTAACTTTAAGCTTCAGGGAAGAAACAAACCCAGATCATTTGGGATTTAATAAATATATTACCACCGGGAAATAAGAGCTCTTATATTCTTGTCAGTAACAATGTAATATGTATACATAAGTTTTTCTTTTTGTGTTTTTTATGAATTATTCTTGCATATGTGTCAAACTGTGATCCCCAAAAAGGATAAGTACCTCCTTACACGAAAGGAAACAAGCAATATCCTTATCATCATAATCATGTTCCCCATTTATTCATATAATTGGTTTTTTTCTTTAATGTTTGTGCTTGAGATATTTTTTTAACATTAAAAAATAGAAATATAACTAGATTAAGAGTTGTTGGTTTTATAATTGGTTCAAAAATTAAGATTTAATATAAAGAAAGTGAAATCATCTTCTTTTACGCTGAGGTTTGATTAATAAAACCTTTTTTCAGTTTCTTCTACCTTCCTCAGTCGTTCTCTCTACCCACACGCCTTCTAGCGTCGTCGTTCCTATCGCCCTCGTCACTTCCTTTCGCTCATTCTCTCCGCAGCAGTGCCCTCGACTTCGCCTTCCCGCGTTTGTAGGCCTGGCATCCTACGATTGCATTGAAGCTTGATTTTTGTCTCAAGTTAAGTGGCCCAGGCCAGTTTTGTCTTCCTGATGCATGCTCTCCCTTTGTATTCTTCTTTCCTAGCATACCAATGCGACTTTGACTGCCTTATGGACTATGTTTTCCATAGGAGGTTTCTTTTGACAATGGGAAGAAGTTTGGGTGTGTTCTCTGGGGTTTTTATTTTCTCTAGCCTGCTCGTGTTTTTGAGTTGTTTCTCTGTTGGTCTCTATGTTTTTTCTCTTGTAAGCTGTCCAGTGTGACCTGAATTGGACTCTCTTGTTAGTCCTTAACATATGTGGCACTCTTTTCTTGTTTGAATTTTCATAAGAAGATTTTAATGAGACCACTATTTCGTGTCGTTATATTCACGTTGTTGATATTATGAATCTTCTAAAAAAAAGTAGAAAGGTGCATGGTGGGCCTAGTTAAAGCTTCATTTTCAATAGTACAAATATTTAATTACAGGGTTTGTGATTATTTTAGATGTTACTCTCACTCCTCTTTTTTTTTTTTTCTTTCCCTTTAATTCGATGGTCCAAATTATAACTTATTTATTGCTGTAGTGTTGTTGATAGACCAAATAATTGGTACTGGCGGGGCCTTGTACTTGACTGGGATGACAATTTTTTTTTTTTTTTTTTGGTAGAACAGATATTTGTTAGGGTATGGTGGAGATTGTATACATTAGATTTTGGACAATAGGGAGGGAAAAAGGAACCCTCCTCACCACATCACATGAAGAGTGAAAGCGATATTTATATTTCATATTTTTTATTTCAATTGTAAAAAAGTCGTATCACTATATCAAGAGCTAATTAAATACTCAATTCCTGACCAATTTAGCTTGATCAAATTTTTTAATTAGCAATGATATATAAGTACTCAATTAGGCCAATCTAGCTATGACCAATTACAGAAAGCCCGTCTAGAACTTAAAAATAAATCACAAATCAAGTAATTAACTTATTTCTTATTACTTATAAATAAATATTAAAAAAAAAACTAATTTCTTCTATTTGAAATATTGTGGTGTATTTGGTAGTTGGTTGTTACTAGTGTGCTGTGCATTTGATGTGCCATCCACGTCTCACCAACTCAACCAATTCATTACAATCTACAATCTACAAAAACAGATCATCACATAACCAGATATTGGAGCCTTTAATTTATTAATATTTATCACACATATAAAATTGATTTTGCCTTTTAGTTGGCCAATTTCTCAAACGTGTGCAACGTGCTGAATGACTGCCCTTTATTTTCCATTGAAAACAAAACAAAGGAAGGTGGATAGATTCCTTTAAATAATTATATGGGGGCATATCCTTCCAATGCATTATTGCTTTCTGAATTCATTTTTTTATTTCTCTTTTGTTGTTTTGTTGTTTTGGTGGAATATTGTTTTAGAATCTTTTTTATTGAGAGAGGTAATAACATATTCAATTCACACACACTATACCGATGCTAGGACTCGAACTCAAAACTTATACTGGATGAGCAATTTATTTTGATTTAAACTAATTTATCGAACCTCAAATTGTGGGAATAGTTTGGTGTAATGCGGACAAAAATGGACAGGAACATCTTCGAAAGCAAAAGATTTGGAGATCTGATATTTTCGTAGTATAATATAGCAGCGACAACACAAATGACTGGTATAAAGAGCAAACTATATATTATGAAGACTTTTGTGTTTTAATATTGTACTAACATGCGTACACTCATCACTTCATTCTTCTTCTTTATCAACGTCATCATTTTATCAATTATAAATTATGAAATTTTTTTTTTTTTTTTTCTGTAAGCAGAAGGAAGGAAAAATAAAAAGAAAATGGTTTGCAAGCATTTTAACCCAGATAGTGAAGGAAAGACAAAAGGGTTGGGATTTCAATCCCATCCCAATGTATCAATTTGTCAAACGAAAAGAGAGGAAAAAAATATTTATTATTTTTGTCAAAATAAAATTTTGTTTTCTTTTATTGGATGACATTTGCTAAAGTAAGACATTCAAGATGATTATTATCTAATAATATAGAAATTTATCCATCAAAAATTGTTTTTTCGTTGTCTTTTAAGAAAAGTAGAAGATGTCAACATGGTATAGTCCAGTAAAAAAACGTATTGACTTGCAGAGGTCTCGAGTTTGAACCTCCATAACATTATAGTTGTGTATGTTTGTGAGATATTCCCCTCCTAATTTAGACTATCGCTTGTACTAAAAAAAGAAAATAAAGTAGAAAATAAAATAAAATGGGAAACAAGATATTTAGAATGTGTGAGGAAGCTCAAAAGATGCCCCACAATAATCATCTTACTTTTCTATCATACTGTAGAGTACCGTATATAAACGCGCAAATGATGATATGTGCAGTTTCGCTTAAATTTAGAATGGTTGAGATTTAATGTTCACCACAGAATAAATAAAGATAGAAGTGCGGACGCATCTTGCATATGAAACGGTGAGGTTGTGAATCACGTGGCTCTTGAGTCTTGACTGGTAGATGAACCCTCATGTCGTGTCGCATTTTGATAATCAATTAAAGTTAATTAATTCCCCAAAGTTTACGGAAAAAAGGGTTTACAATTTAAATTATATCACCTGTTACTGATTTCCCATGTCCCTACAAGAAAGATAGGGACATCACGATGTGAGGGTTCAGGTGCTTACTGGAAGGTCTGAAGATGATCATACTATCCGACCAATAGAATTTTAACGATCATGGTTTAACAAGTTAAGGGGTCAACCATAAGAACAACGTTATGATTAGTCCGCGCACACGAAAATATAGTCAGTAAGTCATTCACAAACAAATAAGGTAATTGTCTCGATTGACTGTCAACTGACTAACATTCGCGTGCGCGCCTCGAATGACTGCCGACTGACCGTAGCATTCGGGTACGTGCATGGGCTGTGACACAGCTCTAAAATCATAAATCAGCAGGCCGATGGATTACAAGGAACCTGTAGCCATATACTCTTTACAGTAGGATGACGAAAAGAAAGAGAGTATATCTGCCATATAATCTTCAGCTGGCAAATATATTATTAAAATTAATTTAAAACAACGAGGTATATAAATATATATATTTATTTATTTATTTATATATCCATCAGTTGTTACACATACAGAGGGAAAATTACCCTTTCTAGGAAAAATCCCATATGAACTATATATGAAAATGTGAAGTATTATCATCCAAACTTCTCTTATAAAAAAAATTATTATTATCCAAGTTATCACTTGTTACATATCCTGACATTCCCATATGTTCTTATCTCCTCGTGTACATTTTTATTTATACCTAAACCTTATTTGTTGCTGAGCCATCTTCAACATGGAAAAGAAAATAGTATTTTGGGCTAATGAAAATTAGAACCAAGAACTCCAAAGCAATGGGAAAACTTTCTTATAACCGAGAATTTGCTTGCTTCGACGGAGCACTCTGCAAGGAAGCAGTGGAAGGCACTGTTAGACAAGAAACAGATACCAAATATACAATAACCGGTACTCTTAATTTATACTAGCCCACAACCCACGATTGTTACTGAGTTCATGAAGCATGAGATAACATTTAATTGTACAATTTTTCACGTGTTAAGAGGCTTTTTGCAGAAATGATATTCCAAGAATGTTTACAGGAAAAAGGAAATGTATAGGAATATAAGCCTCTTGCTTTTTGAGTGAGCTAAGCCCTTCACTGGCCTGTAAGTTGCGACAAACTTCAGATTTGTAACATTGTTCAACAGGAAATCGACGAAACTAACAGCCAAGAAATACTAAAACAATTTTCATGATGAAACACCAAGTTTCAGATATACACTGCAAGATAAACATAACATAGTTTCAAATTTCTCACCAGAGAAGCCCCCTTTGCAGCTCTTTCAGCCAAATAGGCACAAGGCTTGAAAAATTCACCATAAATATTTGACCATTCCTCCAATCTTGAATATATGTATTTGGATCCAAGTAAATCAGCCCAGAACAAGATTCCTCCCCTGATCAGAAATGCCCAAACAAGTTATTGGTGCATTTTATGGCGTTTATGAAGGAATTCCCAACAAAATATATAAATACAAACCTGTAAGGTGG